TAAATAGAGAGAAAAATAACCACAACTCAAAGAGCTTGAATTATATGGAATAAAATGACAAAAATGAAAAAAACATTAAAAAAAATACTGAGCATAATCGTGATTTTATGAGGGTGTGATTCCAAAATCTGTGATCAAAGCAGATACATGATATGACATTTGCTTTGTTTGAGTATGACTGCAAATCTATTACTGGTTTAGTTTACACACATGAAAGGTGTCTTTCCGTAACTTTCAGGAAATCATAGAGCATCAGGTCTGTGATTTTTGACAGTTTTTTCATTCCATAGAATTTACACATGTACAGTATGTGTGTGTATATGTACACAATTGTGTGCAAAACCATGATATTACATATGAATTTCTACCATATCATTACACAATCACCTATAATACATTATTTTTAAAAATATTCTAGATTCTGTAACAGCATGAATTCTTACCGACCTTATGAAGAGCTTCACTTGATGTCAGTCTGAGGAGGTGAATAAGGTAAAATCTGATGACATGCAGGCACTCAGATGGACAAACGGTGAGTTGGTGTCACTGACAGTGGGGGGTCTGTGATACTGATATCTTTTAGTCTGTATGTGCGCTTGCATCTTAAGCACCGTTCTGACTAGAGTCTTGGGTCTCGTTCAGACCCCAGCATCCACTGGAGCAGGACAAGGTGACAGGAGAAGTAATGAAGATGAATGTGTGTGTGTGAATGTGTGTGTGTGTGTGTGCGTGCGTGCGTGCGTGTGTGTGTGTTTCTGAGAAGGCTGCTCAGATTAAGATCAGGCTTGCTGATAAAAATGCCCGCCAGGCCACTCAGAAACCCAACACTCCTCTCTTCTCTTCTCTTTCCTCACCTCTCTTCATACCCCATTTTCCCATTCCCTTCATCTCCATCCATTCCTCTTGTATGAGTACAGGAATGAGCTTTTGGTTTCTGTCTTCCTTTATAGTCTTTTCAAAAGAAGTTCATTTAATTGCAAATATTTCCCTCACTTTTCTATGTACTGTATGTTGTATTTGTGTGTGATAGAGCTGAAGGTCCGCTACAAAATATTGTTTGGGTAAAAATAAAAAATAAAATAGTACTGTAACGAAGAGTACTGTAGGTTTAGGGCTACATAAAATCCTAAAATAAAGTTATGAGAATTCAAAAAACACACATTTAAAATTTTGCACTATTTTTGAGATCATGACAACAAATGGTCTCTAGCGACAAGCTAGACTGCTGTGTGACAACACAATTACAAACAGTCAGAATATATACTACTGTTTGTTTGGGGTCAGTAAGATTTTTTTTAAAGAAATTAATAATTTACATCATAAACTGTTCAAAGGACACACTAAATGAATCAAAGACTTCAATTTGAAGATAGATGTTGTTCTTTTGAACTTTGTTCATCAAAGAATCCTGAATTAAACATATCACGGTTTTTACAAAAATATTAAGCAGCACAACTGTTTTCAACATTGATGTGATAATAACAAATGCTTCCTGAGCACCAAATCAGCATATTAGAATGATTTCTGAAGGATCATGTGACACTGAAGACTAGAGTAAAGGCTGCTGAAAATTCAGCTTTGCCATCACAGGAATAAATTACATTTTAAAATATGTTGAAATAGAAAGTAGTTATTTTAAATTGTAATAACATTTCACAGTATTACTCTTTTTACTGTATATTTGATTAAATAAATGCAGCCTTGGTGAGCATAAGAGAACACTAAAAATCTTACTGACCTGAAACATTTGACTGATAGTGTATTTGAGGTTTGATATGTGGCCATGGCCACCCAATGTGACATGTCAGCTACTATTATATTTCACACCAACATCTTCATCCATCCAGCTAATAAATTTCACCTCATCAGAAACCCTTCTTATTCATCATTTGCATTAAAACCGTCTGCCATGCTTCACTATATTATTTAGTTAAATCCTGAGTTCTCTTTATCTGACAAGATATGTTCTGATGGATGAAGTGAATAGTAGAGTGCTGTATGAGATCATTCATTTGACCTTTTATTCGGTCTCGAAAAAACTCTCTTCTCAGAACTGAGGCTGCCGGCGCATGCAGTGCAAACCCAAAATGGGCTTCTCTGAACCAGGTTTCATAAATCACTGTGTGAAATCTGGATCCTAATCAGGATCATGCACCCTCTCACCCGCCAGCGGAATTAGGCAGACCCAAACAGACCACTCAGCAGGGCCAGATCTGTGGCATTTGTCAGATACCATGCTGCCTATTTATTTGCTGGTGACATGTGGCTGCATGCAACACTGATCTCTCTCTATCCCTCTGTTTCTATATATCTCTATCAGCGCCCTGATCCTCTAGGGTCACATTAAGTGTATTTAAGGCCACTGTTAAATGGCCTGAATTATCATACTGTAACGATTAGTAATAATGGTCCACATTCAAGGTAATCTGAGAACTGTACCGCAGCCTTATTGTGCACATGTGCTTCCCTATGAGATCATATAGGAAACAATTAATGTTTGACAGATTACAATACTTTCACTTTTACAAAATATTTTTTGGGTCTATTTCAAACAAACACACAAACAGTATGTAAACCAAACAGCAGAGTAATACAGTGCTCACAAAATGTTTTCATTTGCAAATATAATCGAGCTACAGCAGGTTTTTGCATTGAGCTACAGTCTTCATCTGTGTTTTAAAGTATACATGACAATGCGTAATTGGATATTTGAATGATTAAATAGACGTTGTGCGTTACCTCTGACTTTTGCAGCAAGTGCACAGCTCAGAGACCAGCTGTAGTCTGACTGTCCTGTATAGATGCTGAATGAAGCCGAGCTAGTCACATTATTTAGGTCAGTTAGTCCTATTTTGCAAAAAAAAAAAGGCCTGGTATGACTGACTCGACTTAACATTTTAAAAAGACAAATTGCTGTTTCAGTTCCACTCAAATCAAACTTTCAAAGTGCATGTAAACTGACCAAAGGTACACTATTAGAAATAAAGGTACAAAAGCTGTCACTGAGGCGGACCTTTTCAAAAGGTACACCTTTGCACCTAAAGAGTGGATATTGGCACCTTAAAGGTACATGTTAGTACCTATTGTACATATTAAATGGTACAAATGTGTATGTTTTGAAAAGGTACCACCCCAGTGACAGAGTGTATGGTCACATTAGCAAAAAATCGCAGATAAAAATAGATTGATGTCTGTTGTTGATATGTATGAAGCACAGCTCTATTCAGCTTTCTGTTGGTCAATGCGGCAAATTCGCTTGACTGTCTTGAACACAATGAGAAATCTGATTGGGAAAATCTTTTTCCTTCAAGTGAAATTCCTGGCTGTGTAGATTCCTATTGAAGGGACTGAATTTCTGTACTGAAAATTCACTGAACAACCGCAAATGTGACCGCAGTTTAGCCGCATTTCTGGTGCATAACAGGCTTTATACAGAAAATAAAGTGATTTATTATCAATCAATTGTGTATTTCTTTTGATAAATGCCACAAATCATAAATTGCTCTCAAGAGTGGGTCATTGAATGTTATCACGAAATTGACCATTGTAAAAACAAATTTTTCCAATAAAAGCAGATCTTCTGAAAACATGTGTTGTCAAGGAGAGAAGGACATGCTATGGTTAGAAAACAAACTAAAATCACAAGCAGACACAAGCCCCACTGTGACGGAGGCCTGTTCAAAGCTCCATCTGCCCTGTCATTAAACTAATCAGCTCATTATTGGACAGTTCAGGTTGGTCATTGGTCAGAAAGGGAGACCCTTTTATTAAGCAGTGCTTACATCTGAGATCTCTCTTAAGATTCCCTAATGCAAACTCTGATTTAAACCAAGGGGTCGATTTCTGGCTGGTTAGCATGACCCCTTTAAGGCAAGGCTGAATTTGCAGCAGCCATTTCTCCAGTCTTTAGTGTCACATGATCCTTCAGAAATCATCCTAAAAAAATTATTTGGTACTCAAGAAACATTTCCTATTATTATCAATGTTGAAAACAGTTTCATATATCTTAATTATCTCACTCAGTAGTGTATACAGTATATATATATATATATATATATATATTGATAAGGATATATATTTATTTCATTATAATATAGTAGATATTTTTACCAGTGTTCAATCCTTTATAGATGACTTTAAAAAAAAGATAAAGTGAACTTGTGCTGTCATGACATCATTATCCTGCAGTTCCAGAACAATTAGTCACATGACATTTATAGCTAAGATAATTGGCTTTAAAAAAACAATGGCAGAAGAGCATGCTGAAGAAAAGCAAAATAAACGACTCTTTATGTCATACTTAATGTATTTATATGAACTTCTGCTGAAAAAATAATAACACAGTTAACAAGTACCACAGCACAGGAGAGCTAAAGAGAGCTTAAACCTCTGCCAGTCACAGCCAGTTAACACCTTTCTTCATGTTTACATAGGCAATGATGAGTTTTATAATAACATGTCCTTTTCACTCACCTATTAGCTAATGTCCTTAGTGCATGCTCATTTATATTATTAATATTACCTCTGTAGCTTCCAGAGAAACTCTCTGTTAGGGCTCCATGTGGAGTAAGCAGCCCACATAGCTGTCATCCGTTTTGTCCTCTTGAGCCCTTCTGACCAGCCTCATTCATTCTGTTATATTCAGTACCGATAGTCAGGGTAAAATACTGTCCAGTATGGGCACGCGATGTATGTTAAGCACATGGTTGTGTTTTCAATAACACGTGCTGTACATATTCAGCTAATAGCCATAATAATATCTGATAGGCTCAGAGTCAGTTTAAAATGTTATTTTAAAAGCAGCACACCTTTTGTCACAAAACAACACTCACAGAACCAAATTCTCACGTCAAAACGAAACAAAAAATACACCAACATGTTACAGCACAGGTTGTTCTTGGATCTTAAACCTTTACCGTCCTCTTAAAAAAAGAGAGAGAGAGAGAGAAAAAGAAAGAGAGATAAATCTGCCATATCGGGCAAAGTGTGCAAGGCGCTCATGAGAAATGTAAATTTCAGTTGTAGTGCTTTCACAAAATAAGTTCAAATAAAGCCATGCAACAAGGGATTGGGGGCAGGGTAAAAAAATGCAGGGGATGGACTTCATATCCCAGAATGCCGTGGACAAAATCCTGAGGAAGGGGGGGGAGTGGCCGTGTCTCAGGTCTGGTCCAGCCATTCGGCACGTTTAGGAGCTTTGCAGGTGTGAATGTCGACAGCCTCCTCGCAGTCTTTGCACTCAACGGAGCAACACCACTTAAACTTACACTCGCACTTGGTGATGCGTTTTATGCGTGTGGTGTCGTAGCCCCGCCCACAACACATGACCTCGCAGCCATCGGTCCCCCGGGAAATCTTGTTACAGACCCGACCAGCAGTACCCAATGAACCTAGAATGCAAAGAAGGAAAATTATTACTAGTTTTGCTCCAAGACCCAGATTTTACATTGGCCGTCAAGTGGTGGCCCACAATATCTTACACTGTAAGAAATAAATCTGTAAAATAACAAAAAAAAAAGTACTGACAGCTCATTATCCATTAAGTGCAAAATTCAAAATACAGGAAAAACACCTGTAAAAAATGAATATGTTTTTACGTTGTTTTGTTTTTTTGTGTACCCCCCAAAATAAAGCATTTTATAATGTATTAAGCCCACCACAAAAAATAGTCATCAAATAATTTAATCATTCAATTAAATTCATTAAAAATGTAAATATAATTTCACTAAGATATATTTAGTGTGAAATTATGCTTATATATATATATTTTATATATGCACCATGCTCTTTTATTATTAAAATCTTACAATAACAATATTCTTGCTAAAATAATTTTTTTATATATTATTTTTCATTATAATGTAATTTGTTTATTCATATAAATTATATTAATATATTTAGTATGCATATCTGCTTTCCATTTCTACATTTATATTTATGTTTATATTGGTATTTATAACCATGTTTCATTCTTTTTGACTACCACAAAGCACAATTAAAAGGTTAATAACAAAAAAATGATAAAATCAATAGAAAAGATTCAAATGTGTAAATGCATATTTCTTGTAATTAATAAATTATCATAAAACCCTGATGTCCCAGATATGATACATAAAAAAAAAATTTAATTAACATATTTTGTCTAAAGGTTCATTAAACAGTTAGATTTTTTTTAAAAAGTGATTTCTCTGACTATGTTTAATATGTGAACAAATGAACTTAGATACTGTATACAGATGCAGAAATACAGACTTAGAAAACAAGGTTCTTTATTTGGCATTGATGGATCCATGAAAAACCTTTCACATTCATGGAATATTTCCATTGTACAAAAAGGTTCTTTATAGTGAGAAAAAGGTTCAATAGATTGTTCTTAAAATGTTCTTACCACTAAGAAAAACTGGTTATTTTGAGAACAGTTCATTGATAGGTTAATTGGGGAAACTAAAATGGTATCACTCTGACAAAAAAAATCCTTTTTACTTCATTTTCTTTATTTTTAAGAATACTTGCTAACTTTCTTGTAACACAAAGTTACAAGGAAAGTAGGACCATACATAATCAGAATGGTGTTTTGGTGAGTTTGTATGTTGATGTTTCGCAAGGTTAAACACACAGTGGACAGTGATGGTCTCTCTCTTAAAAAAAATAATCTCTGCCTGCCCTGTGGCCATGAGAACCAGAGAGTGATGGTTGTGCTGGCAGCTTTGAAAGAATGGGATTTGAAAAATGAGCCTGTTGTATCCTTGGGGTGCAAATTCCACTGGGGTGGTGGTGTTGGTGGTGGTTAGGGGGTAAGCGCATTGACCCTCTGAAATCACTGAGCTGTGAGCTGTCTGTCTGACCCAAACACACACTCAAACCATCACACTGCTGTATGAGCTGCAGTACTGATCTCAGAAAGCAGAGAAACACACTGTCCTAGCCAGGCAACGTGACACGTTTCCAGTAGGTATATGCTGTCTAAGCTATGAGTCGGCTAGTCAGTCTTAAGAATGTCCTGTATAATTATATAGTGTCCACATTTCTTATAGGGTGTTCACATGTGTTCTTGGGTTCAAAATCTGCTAAGTAGGACTGAATACAACAGAATGTATGACTGAGTGGCACACCACCTAAAAACGTATCACTTTAGAGATAAAACAATCCATCTATATAAATTATAAATAATGTAATACTATTCATAATTTATTTTATATATTAAATACACATTTTAAAAATGTCTATTTCTGACACATCACCAATTGAACATGGGATTTTTACAGGTATTCCAGATTATGTGTGTGTGTGAGAGCATTAAGGATTAACAGAGCAAAAAAAATCCCATCCCACCTCTTCTGACCCTGTCAAAGCCTCTGTTGCCCTTTTTCCCTTAAGGTTTATGGTTAGGTTTAGGGCAGGGCAGGTGTGAGAGTCAATTTACCTCAGTTACTGAATCCTATCTTTCTCTACACTATCGAGTCATGTAAAAATGAACACAGCCTATACCACTATGCATCTCAGGAGTGAGGATCCTCTAAGGAAAGTAACAGGTGACTCAGCCTATTAGTCTTGAAAAATTAAGCACTTTATAGTCTCTCATAAACAGGATATTTAAAGGAATTTCTACTATATTCTGGCTTTTCACTCATCAGACAGGCTGAGCACATCCTTTGTTCTGACGTCTGGTATGATCTAACTCTTAATTCTGAGAAATCCGTGAAACCCAAGTTTGACATTCATTTTGTTAATACTGAGTGAGTCAGCAGCAGCAGAGTTAACTAGTTGTGTCATTAGTAATGCATGAGTCACAACAGCCTAATGCTACTTGCATTATTACTAAATGAGTTTACACTGCTTGAAAGGCATTGCTGTGCTGATATTCTTCAAACATTTAGGTTTAGTTTATTCTAAACTCTTAAATTCTATTTATTAAACAACTGGACAATTAATTGAACCTGAACAGCTTAATCTTCAGACTCTGTGCTGTAGATCATGTCAGTGGTCATGATGCGTGGTATCTTTGATTCATTTGTAAACATTGTGCTTTTTAAGAAATATAAGAAAAAAACATTTGCTTTTTAATGCATGTATTCTTTGTGGAACAGGCATAACCAGAAGCAATCTGTAAAAATGAAAAAAAAAAGATTATAATAATAATAATCATTAAAAAAATATATATAATAATAATACAAAATTATGTAATATATTATTATTACATAAGGAATAAAATAATTACTAATAAATTAAAACAATTAAAGTACTAGAATTAATTAAAAGTTACATAAAATGTTTTACTATTTTCCCTCTAATTCATGCTGCCTATGTAGGCACTAGGCAGGTTTTGGAACTGAGCTTGTAACACTCTGTTAGTGCCTTGCAAGCAGTGATAATTCCTTCAGGAAATTAATACTTAGTTACTTTGTGTTTTTTGCACTTTTTCTCCTTTTTTACCTGCAGCTTTGTCCATGATGCAGTGACTGAATATAAGAAAAAAATCTAAATCATCAATTCCTCAGTAAAATAATAGATACTCCTTGTAATTGTCCAAATTTGTGGTTGAACCATATATATATATATATAACCAACCTTTTATTTAGCAAGGATGCATTAACTTGACAATAAACACATCTAAAATGTTACAAACATTTTCATTTTAAATGAATGCTGTTCTTTTGAACTTTCTATTCAACAATATGCACTGAAGACTGGAGTAATGACTGCTGAATATGGAGTTTGCATCACAGAAATAAATTATGTTTTAGAATATATTAAATAGAAAATTATTTCAACATTTAATAATATTTCACAGTGCTGTTTCTGCTTTTGAACTGTAGTGTTACATTTCTTGCATTTTTGTGACAGGTAAGATGTTCCTATTACAGTAAAATGTGTTCTTATTATAACATTAAATTTATATTATATGGCATTACTAAAGGACATACCAATAGATTTAGGTTAGATTTTTAAAGCCAATATATTTTAAATTACTTGAGAGACATTAAGAATGCCATTTTTAAAACTTTAAATATATCTGCTAAATGTGGAGTACACTAGCATTTAAATAACCTTGAAGTTATCTATATTCTAATGTATATAAATAACTTCCACCGACTTAAAATATTGTTTTAATGGAGTCTTTTATTTTAGGACCACCTGCCCAGATCTCAGTGTAACGTTATCCTTCTCACGCTGTTCTGAAGTCGTTTTCAGTTTCCTGTTGCAGTTCAAATGTATTTCAATGATCTGTGCTCATGTAGTACAATGACGTTTGGTGGACATCTATGTTTGAATCGGTCCATCATTCATACAGATATATATTCTCTGAAGAAAAATAGATTATTTTTTTAATAGTACAGTTGCTGTTTATAGGAGAATCCTCTCTTGGCAGCCTCTCCAATTCTAATTCCATTTCATAAACTGAATACGCGCAGTGCTGCGAGAGTCTGTCCGGCTGCCAGAATCATCTCTCCAAACATTTACATCCACTATGCCTGTTTATGTGGTGAAGAGGCATAGAGAATGCTGGAGGGGTGATATTTTCACACAGGGATCTTTGGAACGCTGTATGAAAGCCAAACAGAAAGCACATTTATAGTGCGCATTTCTTGCGTAAACTTCAGGTTCAGACTGAATTAAATGATCCTGTGGGGTTTTGTCTGTTTATCACACCTGGCCAGGGATTTGTGTGAATGTGGCTGGATTTTCCTGTGAGATCCGAGGCGTTTCATTAATATCCCATAGTGATAAACAGCAATGGATGTGTCCAAGAGAGCAACTGTTTAAAATATCATTATTCTATTCTAATCCATGTTGATTTACTGTAGTGACATTACAGTATGATGATCTAGGTATTTACCATATGAGAATTAATGTGTATCTGACTGGGTGAAAGCACACACACACACACACACACACACACACACTACTGGACAAAAAAAATTTATATAAATAATTAAAATAATTTTTTTTATTGTTTTTGAAAAAGTGTCCTATGCGCACCAATGCTGCATTTATTCTATCAAAAATACAGTAAAAGTAGTAATATTGTGAAATCTATTTTAAAATTTAATTTCTTGTCATGATGGCAAAGCTGAACTTTCAGCAGTCATTCAGAAATATGATAAAACTGTTTCTTATTATTATCAATACTGAACATCTTTTGCTTCTTAATATTTTTGTAGAAACCATGAAATGTTACTGTTCAAAAGTTTGAGGTATAATAAATATTATAATACTTTTATTCAGCAAGGACAAATGTAATTTACCAAAAGTGTAAAATATTAGAATGATTTCTGAAGGATCATGTGACACTGAAGAGAGGAGTTATTTTAAATTGTAATAATTTTTCACAATATTACTGTTTTTACTGTATTTTTGTTTATCAAATAAATGCTTAAAATTATCTTTAAAAAATTCATAACTATTTATTTGACTGCTTTTGCTTCCAAAACCCACACTGACACATCTCTAGTACTCACTGCGCTGTATAACTCTCCCAAAAACGGTATGGTCTCTGTCCAGTGCGCTGCAGTTCCAGCGGTGATTACGGAATTGATGCTGGCACTCTCGAATCCACTCTTTAGCCCCGCCCCCAATCGACTGCATGATGTCGGGATACTTCTGACACAACTGCCTCTGTTTATTCACCAGCCCGGGAATATTGTCACAGATCACACGGGCACCAAGGGCTCCAATATACCTGAAAAACAGACACAAACACAGAGGCTTAAAACCTGAATCTATCACAGCAGTTTTTGCCAGTTGGTTTTTGTGAGCAAATATCATTCCAAAAGTGCTGAATCAGTAAACATTCAGTGATTACGCATTGTCTAATGCCAAAGAATCTGAAGATTGAGTCTGATCATTCCCAGAATCTTACCACTCATTAGTGGAATTTCAGAGGGAAGTTTGGCAAACTGACATTTGTCATAAACATGACATTCACAAACCAACAATTAGTTATGATTTATTTGAAGGCAATTGCATAATAAGTGCAACATCATCAGATTTGGAATACGTTTTTGAACCCTAGATGATAACCTTTAGTTTTTTAGACTATCTGATCTCATATTTGGTAGTACTTATTAATCCAATCAGCCAATCAGAACAGAAGGAGATTTCATGAATTATGATCCATTCTATCTCTCTTTTACTCTCTGTATAGTTTTCACTCACATTCTGATGTTTCAATCCATCACTGTTCAATATTTATTTGTCTGACGGCAACAGAAACTGGCATAACATCTCTCTCGTTCTCATACACACCCAAAACCGTATCACATCAAGCCTGATCTCAGCCTTCACACAAACACACACTCGCTCATGTCAGACAAAAGCAGGATTTAGTTCCAAATATTTTAGTCTGCTAAAATGAGCATTTCTAATGACAAATGAAGGTTTTACCTTTTGAAAAAATCTTTGTGAATGCTGATCAACCTTTTTATTATGACTGTGTTCCTCCCACTCCGATGCCTCATTTGACTGTGATTATAGGGCTTTATCGTCCCCTGTGCTTTGTGTTCAATAGAGTTTGGAAACACTCACTCACACACACACACACACCGACAAACTGTGGTGGTTTGCAGGTTGGCTTTACCAGCAGCAGTAAATCATTATCCACAGGACCACAACCACATGCTGTAAAAACACAGTAAAATCTGCTCTCATTTACACTGCATGTCTGTCTCTGTGTGTGTAGATAGGATTAACTGGGTAAAGAATGTCCGACTGTAGTAATTTGTTGCTTCTACTACCCAAATAAAGGGTGAAAATTCCTCTCCTCCCTATTTCTCTCCATCTCTCTGTATCTTCCCATCTTTGTCTTTTTCATTATTGGTCTAATCACGTTTTCTCCTTTATATAGATTAGACAGAAAACAAGTTAGTGAAAACAATTCTCAGGCCCTTGATGGAAGATCAAAATTTGAATTAACATATTCTTTTATATCTTTCATACTTTTCATCTGAATCAGAGCCCTAAGGTTTCCAGGCGTCTGCTGTTCTGGATGGATCATTTGGGAACTGTTGGAACTTACTTGTGTCATAATGTTGCAATCTTTATGTATGCAGATTGCAATATGGTTGGACCATTACAAAACTAGCTTGTGCGTCATTCAGAATTGAACTAAGAAATTAAAGAAATTCATATGACTGTAGTTTTGAAATAGAAATGCAAAAGTTTGTCAAGACATGTTGACCTTGTTTAAAAAAGGTTCAAGGTCTTACAGACAGATAAATAGATGCCAATAGGAATTCCAATTCAGCATCCTGTGGGGTGTGTCCAATTTTTAGTTCTGAATTTTGTCCAACCCTGGAACAAAAGGTCAAAGATGAAGTTTACTTCAAAGGACACACACCCACCTTTCTATTTGTGTGGAAGTCCAGGGCAGGCTTACATCTGGCTTCATCTGTGTGTGTGTGTCTGTGAAATAAGTTCACTAGTATGAGACGCTAACAGGCCGCCCAGTAGCTTAAGAGGATTCCTGCTCTGTCTGCTTAAAGTGATGGATGAACAGATCAGAGAGATTCTTCATGATTGTTCAGGCTCATTGCACTGTAGTCACCAGCTAAGTGTGTGTGCATAGGTATCTAAGCAGGAGGCCTGACACATATTGCAGTTATTTCATTTATTCCTCTGTTATTGGCAGACACCACACCTCAAGCACACCATGAAAACCCGACCCATAACTGCCATATATAATGATGTGCAAGGCCTGTTACTATACATAAGCACAAGCTCTGGGGAAAACCCCATCCCTCATGAGACTTTTTTGAGGGGGAGAAGCCTGTGATTTGTGTGTTTCTAGAATAACTGTTTTAAATGCCAATATCTTGGTGGGGAGAGCGGTGAAGCTGCGTTCCTGCGCTAAGCGCGAAGTGTGTGTTCATTTTAGTACTTGAGTCGCCTGCCATCTCCCGACCTCTGTCTGCCCACCACCAGGGTGCGAATTAAGGGGAGTTTGGGGGGTCTGAGACCCATAATTATGGCTCTAACCTCCCCAAAGGAAATAAAAACATAAGGTTGGGGGTCTCAAAACTATATATTCGTTCACATATAAGTATAGGTCTATACATATTTCAACAGCGTTTTCAAACAATAAAACAGTGTTTTAGTAACCACAAAAGTTAGATTACAAGTTATTCAGACCGCGCTAAACAGACGCTCGCGAACAGCGCGCGTTCGCCTGAGAAGATAACCATAGCAACAGCTATATCAGTATATGTTTTATCCGTTTATTATATTTACATAGGATGAGTAAATAACATTAATAAAGTTTCGTTATTAATTTAAAATAGTCGATGTTTAGCAAACTGTATTATGGGCACCAAGACATATTCGGCTGCGTGAAACGAACATCAACATATTTCGCCCTGACAAATTACTGACAGAAATTGCTTTTTAAAAAGTCAAACACCCTGAAACCAGCCCAACACTTTAAATTACAATTAAAACGCAGATTTTATTGAAAACATTACTCCAAGGTTTTTAAACCTCTGTTTTTCATTAACCTCTCCTCCATGTGTTTTAAGAGTAGGCTATAAATACAGTACTGTACACAATAAATACCTCACTTAAACGCAAACCACTGTTATTATAAAACTGAACTGCCACTTATAAAAACTAGAACAATGTAGGCTACCTAATAATAAACATTTGCAGATGTTCAGTCTCCCAACTGACAGCAGCTCAGTCACCGTGAGCTGAGGGGAAAAAAACCCACCCGGCTTCTGCGCGCGGGGATGCAGGACGCTACTCACCACCAGGACGAGTCCACGCGCGGTGTGAGGATGAGCAGGAGAAACAGGAGAGCGCAACACAACCGCGAGGACGCACGGGGACCGTAGGATGAGCCTGCGCTGTTTCTGATTATATGTCTTAATCCTGGGTCTCCGGGAACAGCAGTAGATCTGTTGAGAATCCGGGGCGACCCAAGAACTTTACCGCAGCCAAACATAGTTGAGCGTGTCCTCCAGCGGTGATAAGAAAACACGATTCTGTATGGTAGGAAACCGGTGTAAAGACCGCTTAGGTCTGCGGGGACCTGCTAGAGTTGGGATTGCTGATAGCTGGACGGATGTAGAGCTCCGTGCGGACGATGCACGGACGCATATCATGTATCTGCCCGGATATTAGCGTGTGCCATATAAAAGTATTCCCCGAAATCTGGCAACCGCAGCAGAAATAATCCAAGCCAGACGGCAGGTTCAGAGTGCGCTTTCTTTTCTTTTTCCACCACCTCTTGAGAACAGATGAAGTCTCGGTGAGGTGCAATTGGATCAGAAAGAGTGCCAACTTTTCCACTTTTCTCCCCACGTTTTGCGTTCAGGCAGGGCTGTGAAACACGCGCCTCTTCGTTTTTCCATTGGAGTCTGCGAGCGCTGATAGCAGACTGCGCGAGATAAACCGGGGCGATGAACTGTTGCGTACTGCAGAACGAAGGGGTGGGCGACGGGGGGAGAGAGAGAGGGGCTATAGGAATGTTGACAGCCCGCCGTCTCTCCACTCTTATTGGGCAGAGACCGGAGCCCCGGGGAAGCTTGAGCTCGCGCGGGATACGCGCCGTTCCCTGGTCAGTGGAGACACGCGCCACACTCCTTTCACCTGCTGAACGACACGCAGCATCCTCATTTAGGCTACACACCATTCTGGAGTTCACGCTCACAATTTCACAAACACAGCAAAATATTCATGATGTGAGGGAAAATGAGACACACAATTTTAAAATGTATTTTTTTGAATCGTTGTCATAATAATAATAATAATAATAAATAAGCGGTTCAAATAGTTCAGCGTATCACTACAGCCAATAACCGTGGTACTTAAATTAAGGCATAAACTTAAATGTTTACTTTTGGCGAATTAAAACGTTACAGTGTGGATTTAGGGCTGCCGTATAGTGACACATATTCATTAATCAATTATCAAATATCCAATTATTGAAACAATTATTTATAAAGTGAGATAGCTAAGCTTATATAAGCAGTTTTTCTTAGTATATTTTTCTCGTATGATACTATGCAATTACAAAACCCATAAAATGATCGGTGTATCTAAAAATAAAATACTTATTACAATCACATATTTTAATGCACTCGAGCATGCAGCATTCGCACTGATTGTAGCCGCAATTGCTAGGCCTTTATCATTTGGAGAGATGCGCGTGTCTGAATACACAAGCTCGTGTTTACAGATAAGGCTCTAGAGCTTGCACGAGTGCTGCTGTGTATAAACATCGTGCGGAATCCAGTTTCAAAACATCACATACAGTATATTTGCCTGTTGCATGACTCTGGATAAGTGAAACCAATCTCTTCATTAATGCAACATGCAGGAGATATAATCTGTTATTATTATCACGGCATCCCATGGCTGCAGCTGCACTGCTCCTGTATAGACAAGATATAAAGCAAATACACCGTTTCAACAGTAGCAACTTCAGCTCCAGATGAGGGATCTGCAACACCCAAGACTGTAACACTTTACTGAGTACTTGAAAGTGTACTGACGCAGAAATAGGCCCAAATCCCCGTTGGAATTGAAACTATTAGAGTAAACTGCACTTTCCACCAAGGATGAAATGAGCAACTATAATGTTTAGTTGTAAATCCTAAATTAGGCTAATCTTATAGTCCTGAAATTTTCATTTGTACTTAAACTTTAGCCCCTTAGACGCTTTTGTCCACCTAAAGCTGGCATGGCTTATAGCCGGTGAAACAGAGAGGCCTATCCCTGGAGGAGAACATGTCAGTTCAGATGGTGATTCTATTGTGTAAAAATACTGCGCGAGATAAACCGGGGCGATGAACTGTTGCGTACTGCAGAACGAAGGGGTGGGCGACGGGGGGAGAGAGAGAGGGGCTATAGGAATGTTGACAGCCCGCCGTCTCTCCACTCTTATTGGGCAGAGACCGGAGCCCCGGGGAAGCTTGAGCTCGCGCGGGATACGCGCCGTTCCCTGGTCAGTGGAGACACGCGCCACACTCCTTTCACCTGCTGAACGACACGCAGCATCCTCATTTAGGCTACACACCATTCTGGAGTTCACGCTCACAATTTCACAAACACAGCAAAATATTCATGATGTGAGGGAAAATGAGACACACAATTTTAAAATGTATTTTTTTGAATCGTTGTCATAATAATAATAATAATAATAAATAAGCGGTTCAAATAGTTCAGCGTATCACTACAGCCAATAACCGTGGTACTTAAATTAAGGCATAAACTTAAATGTTTACTTTTGGCGAATTAAAACGTTACAGTGTGGATTTAGGGCTGCCGTATAGTGACACATATTCATTAATCAATTATCAAATATCCAATTATTGAAACAATTATTTATAAAGTGAGATAGCTAAGCTTATATAAGCAGTTTTTCTTAGTATATTTTTCTCGTATGATACTATGCAATTACAAAACCCATAAAATGATCGGTGTATCTAAAAATAAAATACTTATTACAATCACATATTTTAATGCACTCGAGCATGCAGCATTCGCACTGATTGTAGCCGCAATTGCTAGGCCTTTATCATTTGGAGAGATGCGCGTGTCTGAATACACAAGCTCGTGTTTACAGATAAGGCTCTAGAGCTTGCACGAGTGCTGCTGTGTATAAACATCGTGCGGAATCCAGTTTCAAAACATCACATACAGTATATTTGCCTGTTGCATGACTCTGGATAAGTGAAACCAATCTCTTCATTAATGCAACATGCAGGAGATATAATCTGTTATTATTATCACGGCATCCCATGGCTGCAGCTGCACTGCTCCTGTATAGACAAGATATAAAGCAAATACACCGTTTCAACAGTAGCAACTTCAGCTCCAGATGAGGGATCTGCAACACCCAAGACTGTAACACTTCACTGAGTACTTGAAAGTGTACTGACGCAGAAATAGGCCCAAATCCCCGTTGGAATTGAAACTATTAGAGTAAACTGCACTTTCCACCAAGGATGAAATGAGCAACTATAATGTTTAGTTGTAAATCCTAAATTAGGCTAATCTTATAGTCCTGAAATTTTCATTTGTACTTAAACTTTAGCCCCTTAGACGCTTTTGTCCACCTAAAGCTGGCATGGCTTATAGCCGGTGAAACAGAGAGGCCTATCCCTGGAGGAGAACATGTCAGTTCAGATGGTGATTCTATTGTGTAAAAATAGAGAGAGAGAGAGAGAGAGAGAGAGAGAGAGAGAGAGAGAGGAATTTGCCAGCCTGTTCCAGTAATTTTTAGTCCAGAAATATGTAATTTGAAGTTATACATTCTTACTGAAGCAATTTGCTTCATATTATTGGACAGAACAAGGCCTCTTGGGAGTTTTCAAAGTGAGAGACTATACTCTAATAAAATAATTCAATATGTTTGATCTACAGATTTCTGGTTGAGTACACCTGATAACACCAAAGGCTTTTCCAGCATCTTCTGCATAGTTGACCTCTTTCCAACAGTGGGTGCATAATTTTGAGATGCATCTTTTCACACTGAGGACAACTGAGGGACTCATACGCAACTATTACAAAAGATGAAAACATTTACTAACGCTCAAAGAAGGCAACATTATGCATTAAGAGGTGGGGACGGGGTGTAAAAAATTGTTCAATTATTAACATCTTGCATATTCTGCAAGGGGTATATTAACTCATGAGCATAACTATAAACTGCATTTCACATAACTCTTGTACAAGTATTCATGCGAACATACACTAACATTCACAAGTTTGGGGTTTGTACAATTTTTTTAATGTTTTTGAAAGAAGACCTTTGATCAAGTTAATGCATCTTTGTCAAGTAATAATAATAATAATTAAAAAAAAAATCTTACTGACCCTAAAATTTTAAAAAGGTAGTGTAAGTATATACAAATACATACATACATAAATTAGAGCAATACAAATTAACAAGCACATTACTGTGATACTGAACATTGATGTTTGGCTGCATGCAGAATGTCATAACTCCATGTATGAGATTAGCTCACAATCACACTCTCTGTGTGTGTGTGTGTGTGTGTGTGTGTGTGTGTGTGTGTGTGACTTTCTGACTGCTCTATAATAGACAGAACGCACACTCAAGGTGACCCCAGGGTACAGGAACACCTGAGAGAATGAGCTCACAGTTTATTTCTGTACCTGTGTGAATCTGAACCTGTGTTTGTGTGACAGGTCTTAACTCTTCAGTGTCGTCAGGTTTGGCTCTGTTTCAGGAATGAGGGCACCGTGAGTGTCCTCCCGGCTGCTTGCTCAGAAGTCCACCGCCGGCTATTTTAGAAAGGGGCTAAGGGAAACACTCACCTGATTATAAAACCTCTTCCAACTGTTTGAGTTCTACTAATTCTGTCCAATAATACATTTAATTTTGTACTGCTCAGTATTTCCTGAAAGTTCCTGAGAGTTTGTAATTTCTGATCTAAGCTTGTGTGAAAGTGCATGTATGTAAAGTATATGTTATGAACACTTGTTCTACCCTTGTTTAGTTTATTAAATGGCACTTTCCTACAATTTGGTGTCACCTACACACTCAGAAAAAAAGGTACAAAATTGTCACTGGTTTGAAAAGGTAATATGTACTTATAAAGTATAACTTTAAGCTACTAATAAATGTGAATGTGATACAGTAAAAGTAAATGTGATAGCATTTTTTTTTCTGACAATGTACTATTAGCCTTCCAGACTGAATCCAACCATTAAAATCAAACAACAATGTAGCTGTTTTGACAACAATCACTCTGTTTTATTGATATTGACATAATTGTAACAAAAATGAAGGTTATTCAACTACAAACTAAAATTACACCTCTTTCATTTTTATTCATAAAAAAAAATCAAGCACAAATAAGAGTTTTAACCTGTATTTAGTCAAGTCTATAAGGTTCTAAAAATACAACTCCTATATAAAATATATGAATAATAAAATAGCTCTTATAATATTTAGTTATTTAGACCTCCTGAGGTTGATGACATTGATCATTTGTTAAAAATGAAAATAGTATAGATTTTAGTTTTTTCTAGCCCTGTTTTGTACTCTGTGGAAAATGTCAAATATATTGACTAATTTGGTACTTATAAATTTCCAATATTAGTAATCTACTCACATTTAACATTGTACCATTACCATTTAGCATTTAAATCCATTCTACAGAATTCTACAGATTCTGTAGATTTTAAAGATTTTTCTTACAAAATCAGCACACAAAATGTTACAAAAAATAAGCAGATTACATCTGGGCCTCGTTCTGTTGTATTGTATCACATGAGGCTGCTGATGTTGAAAGTTATAATGCAGAAGTTTTATAGTTCTGTACATTGTTCAAAGAAAAAAAAAGCCTCTGTCACTCTGTGGGAATATGAACCCATCAGCACAGTTTTTAAAACTAATGCTGATAAAGC